CTTTGCCTCTTTTATAGGGTTCTCAAACGTTTTTTTGTTTTCTTTTCAGAGATTCTTTCACCCAAATTTATATAACTTCCTCATCTTTTTTTTCCTTTTCATTTTGTATTCCCTTTGTTCGTATTTGGTTAATCCCTGCCTTTTTAGTAATTCTTTTCCGCACACTTTTCTTACATCTAGTACTTATTCGTTGCACTTCTCTGACTTAACCACTTTATTATGCGTATATAATTCAATTTTCTCTTTTTTGTTGATTATGTCAAGTTATAAGTTATAGTTTTTTGTTGTTGTTTTTCTTTACACCAAACTTGTATTTTCTAAGCTATAACCAGTGTATGCTCATTTTTCACTTTTCAAAACAGAATAACTTTTCATTGGTTTTTAAAAAATATTTGAAAAGTCGAGGTATTTTTGAGCACTTTATTTTCTTGTTCATTGCCAGTTGCTTGTTTGTGAGAATTCGTGCGACATCCTTCATATGAACCTGTCATATATTATAAACCATCGATTCATATGTTGGGGCGTGTGGCAAGATGATTCGGGAATCATTTTAAACATCTTCAGCTTGCTCGTTTGTCAGTGTTCTGTGTTTTCACATTCAAATGCGGGGTTTTTGTTGTCATAACGTGAACGCTCGCTTTCCATGATTACTGCTAAAAGCTCAAAATGAACTCAAGACATGAAGTCACTGCTCTGTATTACAACAACGGAACTTACTGGCTCACAGGTTTCCCCGCTTTCTCCAAATGAGACACCAGCTTTTTCTATGTCTCTGTCCCGGGTGCTGAAATTGACTGCCGCACCAGTCGTTTAAATCTATGAATAACCCACTTATTCAACATGCCGTAAGACATTTAAATCAAAGCTTTGCCAATGCCTTCTTATTAGATTATATAATTGGATGTTACGAACTCCAATTTATAAATAAATAAAAATAAGTTAATTATGATAAGGTTGAATGGTTGGATTTTTTTAATACTTCAAAAACGTTTATCAAGTTATTGTTGTTTTCACGTTCTCCTCACACACACAAAGAAACCTGAGAGTTCATTTTGCGCTTTTAGCGTGTGTGTTGTCTTTCATGATAACCTTGGAAAGATTTGTGAGACGGAATTAGGATGTAATTCATTGCAATACGGAGCCGTCCTGCTAATGACCACTTATGATTTTTTTTCTCTCATTCGGTGTCTCTTTACTGAAAAGAAACGTGTGATCACGTTCACTTGAAAGGTGTTTGCATTTATATGTTCACAGAGTGATATAACAATTAACTACAAAAAAAAAACACATGCAATTTCAGATTATATTTAGAAAAACTGGGAACACTTCTTGCGTTATAACGACGGGAATGACGCAGTTTTAAACATTTTAGAATTTAGATGACCCTTTTGCAGTAATGACACAAAATAAAAGTCCGATTATCCTTCAATAAGTATGCATTTATTTGACTGGTTCAATATTTGAATGGCATCATTTTCTTTCCAAAATGCAGATTGCAATTATGATCACGTCTCTTGCGTTGTCATTTTTTAGCTATACTCAAGGTGTCACTAAAGACCAGCAACGCGTTTAACCCCGAATATGTTTTGCACACGATCCACCATGACGACTGGGAGGTATTTCGTCTTTTTTCTCTGAAGCTGGAGCGAAATCCAAGGAATACTGAAATCATAATCAAAAACACTTCACGACTGAAACCGTATCTGCATTATTTTAGTGTCTGATGATGGCGTGGACTACGTTTCCCCGGGATCTGTGGACTCCTCTTTGTCCTTTTTGTTGAACACTGCACACAGGGAGAAACTGACATATTCCGTTCGAGAGGAGCTGAAGCGCGGGTCTGTCATCGCAAATGTTGCCAGGGATTTGGGCCTGGAATCGCGGGGAAACGATGCTCGTAAAGTCCGCGTAGAAATGGAACGAAGCGAGAAGGAGTATATCAGAGTCGACCCGAGGACCAGACTTATTGGTCGCCGGAAGAATAGACAGAGAGGAGCACTGTGGACAAAAACCGACCTGTGTTCTGAAATTTGACCTGCTTTTAGAACATCCCCTGGAACTGCATAGGCTGTCCCTTCAGGTTGAGGATAAACGATAATTCTCCAGTGTTTCAAAAAGATACAGTGAAGCTGGAGATCAGCGAGTCTGCTGACAAAGGAGCCAGGTATCGCATTAATGCAGCGCACGACGCAGATATAGGCCAGAACGCCGTTCAAAGCTACACCCTAGAACAAAACCCCCACTTTGTGTTTAGTATTCAAACAACCAGTGCTGGCAGTAAATATGGAGAGCTGGTCTTAGACAAAGAATTAGATCGTGAAGAGCAGCAAGAATTCAAATTATTGCTGACAGCTGTAGATGGTGGATCTCCGCAGAGATCAGGAACTGTAATCATACACGTTACTGTGCTCGACGCTAATGATAACGCTCCAGTGTTTACTGAGGCTGTGTACACGGCCAGTTTTCCGGAAAATGCTCCTTTGAATACCGCAGTTATCAGAGTAAGCGCAAAAGACGCAGATGAAGGTATTAACGGTGAGGTGACGTATGAGTTTGGCCGACTGTCTGATAAATCAAAGAAGTTATTTTCACTTAATGAAAAGACCGGAGAAATAATTGTTGCAGGTGAATTAGATTATGAAGAGGGATCGAAGTATGAACTGATGGTTGAAGCCAAAGATGGTTATGGCCTGTCTTCAGAAGCTAAAGTGATTATTGACATCACTGATGTGAATGACAACGTCCCATTAATATATATAAAATCCTTGTCCAACCCCATACTAGAAAATGCGTCTCCTGGTACAGAGGTGGGCATCATTAATGTACAGGACAGAGACTCTGACAATAACCGACAGGTTCGCTGCTCCATAGAGCAAAATGTTCCTTTTAAGATGATTCCTTCTATTAAAAACTATTATTCTCTGGTGACTACAGGACAACTGGACCGTGAATTAGTATCTGATTACAACATTACAATCATTGCCACTGACGAGGGCTCTCCACCTCTGTCCTCCTCTAAAACTATTCAATTGTCTGTAGCTGACATCAATGACAACCCTCCTGTGTTTGAGGAACAGTCCTACAGCGCATATGTTAGTGAAAATAACAAACCTGGCTCCTCTTTATGTACTGTTTCTGCTCGAGATCCTGACTGGAGACAAAACGGTACAGTGATTTATTCTCTGTTACATGGTGAGGTGAACGGTGCCTCGATGTCCTCCTATCTATCTGTTAATGGGAGACACAGGAGTGATCCACGCTGTGAGGTCATTTGACTATGAACAGTTCAGGAGTTTCAAAGTCCAAGTGATGGCCAGAGACAATGGTTCTCCTCCTCTCAGCAGCAACGTGACTGTCAGTGTGTTCATATCTGATGTGAATGACAACTCTCCTCAGATACTGTATCCAGCACAGAGGGCAGCTCCTTCATGACTGAGCTGGTCCTAAAGCTGCACATGGAGGGTCTCTGGTGTCCAAAGTGATAGCAGTGGACGCAGACTCTGGACAGAACGCCTGGCTGTCCTATCATATAGTCAAAGCCACAGATCCTGGACTTTTCACTATTGATCTGCACAGTGAGAAATCAGGACCCAGCGGGACATTTCAGAATCTGACAGCATGAAACAGAACCTGATTGTTGCAGTGAAAGATAATGGACAGCCCTCTCTGTCTGCCACCTGTTCAATGTATTTACTGATTTCTGATAACTTGGCTGAAGTGCCAGAACTGAAAGACATTTCTTATGATGAGAAGAACTCCAAACTGACCTCTTATCTGATCATTGCCTGGTTTCTGTGTCCACCTTCTTTCTGACCTTCATCATCATCATCCTGGGTGTGAGGTTTTGTCGCAGGAGAAAACCCAGACTGTTGTTTGATGGAGCAGTAGCGATTCCAGGAGCTTATCTCCCTCCAAATTACTCAGATGTTGACGGAACAGGAACTTTACGCAGCACCTACAATTATGATGCCTACCTGACAACAGGATCCAGAACCAGTGACTTTAATTTTGTGTCATCTTACAATGACAACACGCTGCCTGCTGACCAGACCTTGAAGAAAAGTCCATCAGAGTTTGCTGATGTGTTTGGCAGCTGTGACATTTCTCCTGAGGTAGGCACCTGTCTGACATAGTAATACTTCTTCTGTTTTGTCGTTGGAATTTTTCTTGCAATATCTAATTTTTTCAAGTTTGACTTCATATCGAGGTGTTTGCAGTTATCTAATGTTTTCTTTTAAGGATTTGAAATCTTCAGGCATAACGGTAAAATAAATAAAAACGCTGTTAGTATTTAGCTTCTCACACTGACAGCAATTTTGGAAGTCCAACAATAGTACTTGCTTGCTTTTATCTTTAAATACATGTCCAATATCAGGTTTTGCTCTATCTTGCGGTCAGAAATTTTTAAGTGACTTCCATGTACTCTCTTTCATCTGATTTCTTTGTAACAGTATTACAAACATAATACCAGGATACTCATCTTTAAACAGAGTCTACTTAAGTTGTACTTAATGAGATATGATTATAAATCTGTAAATAACAAAGCAAATCTGTTATTTGGACATGTTTGTATTACCAACTAAATTAATGAAGGGATTACTGTTTAGTTACCGTAGTTTATTTATTTGTTTGTTTGTTTAGGTTATGAACAACACACACTAACAATGACATGACTGCATTAATGATTATTCTTATAGACACTATATAGATTACTAAGAACAAAAAGTTTTTTATTTTGGAACTTTTTAATGACGGTCAGGTTGACCATAATCCGTCAAACTCCGTGCATTTTGTCTGTCTGACTTTCCGTACACATAAACCGTACAGATTTATGTTTGTATGATTTTAGCACTCATCAAACCTATAAAGTGAAAGTCAGACATTATTCGGAGTTTTTATTGCTTTAAAGAAAGGTTTCTGCAGCGTTGTTTTGCCGTTAAGAACGCTGAGAGGACGAATTATACTAAAGAAGAAATTATTTATTCGAAGGCAGACTTTTATACTGAGAACAGTGTAAAAGTGCTGTTTCTTCCTTTTTCTCAAGGTGTCACTATTTGCCTGTCTATGAGAAGGCTCTTCTTCCCTCCCCGCGCCGTTTTAGATGTAAAGAAAGCTTCACAATTCAATCTGCGCATCCAGACAGATCGAGAAGCGCTCGAATTACTTCTGTTTTTGTGCGTTGCTGTTTCTACCACTGATTTTTTTTGTGGAATATAACCAAGGGTCCCTGTTGTGTTTTGAAAACATTTCCTATGTGCCACAATGGAGCATCGGATTGTGTGTCTCCTCTTTTTGTTCTGGATCGGAGTGAATGGAGACGTGAGCTATTCGGTGCAGGAGGAAGTGAAACGTGGATATGCCATTGGAAATGTAGCGAAGGATCTGAACCTGGACGTGGGTAAATTGTCACTACGGAATGCTCGTGTTGATGCGGCAGGGAATCGGAAGCGATATTGTGATATCAATAGAAGCACAGGGGATTTAACTGTTTCCGACAGGATTGACCGAGAGGAGCTGTGTGGAGAACGATTGTCTTGTGTAATAAAACGCGAAATCGTGCTGGAGAACCCTCTGGAATTGCATCCTTTCAGTCTGCATGTTCAAGACATTAATGATAATACACCTCAGTTTAACGAAGCGTCGTTTGCATTTGAAATTCGAGAGTCGGCAGCAAAGGGAGCTCGTTTTTTAATCGAGGAGGCGCACGACGCGGATGTAGGACAAAATTCAGTTCAGCAGTACAGACTTGAAAAAAACGAAAATTTCATTCTGGCTGCTAATGGAAACACAGTGGAGCTTGTTTTAGATAAGGAGCTTGATCGAGAAAAACAAAAGGAAATGAATTTACTCCTTTCAGCTCTAGATGGCGGATCTCCTCAGAGATCAGGTACAGTGGTCATACATGTAACTGTACTGGATGCTAATGATAACGCCCCAGTGTTTAGCCAGGCCGTTTATAAAGCCAGTCTGCCTGAAAACTCTCCTATAGGTACTGTAGTGATAACAGTGAGCGCAACTGATGCAGATGAGGGAGTGAATGGAGATGTGACTTATGATTTTGGACATGTTTCAGAAAAAAGTAAAGAAAGTTTTTGGCCTTGATCCTAAGACAGGAGAATTAAAACTCATTAGCGAGATAGATTTTGAATCGGTTGCAACTTATGACCTGCGCATTAAAGCGAAAGATGGCTTGGGATTGTCATCTTACACTAAAGTGACTGTACATGTCACCGATGTAAATGACAATTCACCTGTTATTTATATAAAGTCTCTAGCAGACCCAGTACCTGAAAATGTGTCTCCTGGCACAGAGGTGGGCATCATTAATGTACAGGATGTAGATTCAGATAACAGTCAAAATGTCCGCTGCTACATTCAGCAAAATGTCCCTTTTAAGTTGATTCCTTCCATTAAAAACTATTATTCTCTAGTGACTACAGGACAACTAGACCGTGAATCATTATCTGATTACAACATTACAATCATTGCAACTGATGAGGGCTCTCCACCTCTGTCCTCCTCTAAAAACTATTCAGTTGTCTGTAGTGACATCAATGACAACCCTCCTGTGTTTGAGGAACAGTCCTACAGCGCATATGTTAGTGAAAATAACAAACCTGGGTCCTCTTTATGTATTGTTTCTGCTCGAGATCCTGACTGGAGAAAAAACGGTACAGTGATTTATTCTCTGTTACCTGGTGAGGGTGAACGGTGCCTCGGTGTCCTCCTATCTATCTGTTAATGGAGACACAGGAGTGATCCACGCTGTGAGGTCATTTGACTATGAACAGTTCAGGAGTTTCAAAGTCCAAGTGATGGCCAGAGACAATGGTTCTCCTCCTCTCAGCAGCAACGTGACTGTCAGTGTGTTCATATCTGATGTGAATGACAACTCTCCTCAGATACTGTATCCAGCACCAGAGGGCAGCTCCTTCATGACTGAGCTGGTCCCTAAAGCTGCACATGGAGGGTCTCTGGTGTCCAAAGTGATAGCAGTGGACGCAGACTCTGGACAGAACGCCTGGCTGTCCTATCATATAGTCAAAGCCACAGATCCTGGACTTTTCAGTATTGATCTCCACAGTGGAGAAATCAGGACCCAGCGGGACATTTCAGAATCTGACAGCATGAAACAGAACCTGATTGTTGCAGTGAAAGATGGACAGCCCTCTCTGTCTGCCACCTGTTCAATGTATTTACTGATTTCTGATAACTTGGCTGAAGTGCCAGAACTGAAAGATATTTCTTATGAGGAGAAAAACTCCAAGTTGACCTCTTACCTGATCTTTGCTCTGGTTTCTGTGTCCACTTTCTTTCTGACCTTCATCATCATCATCCTTGGTGTGAGGTTTTGTCGCAGGAGAAAACCCAGACTATTGTTTGATGGAGCAGTAGCCATTCCAGGAGCTTATCTTCCTCCAAATTATGCAGATGTTGACGGTACAGGAACTTTACGCAGCACCTACAATTATGATGCCTACCTGACAACAGGATCCAGAACCAGTGACTTTAAGTTTGTATCATCTTACAATGACAACACGCTGCCTGCTGACCAGACCTTGAAGAAAAGTCCAACAGATTTTGCTGATGTGTTTGGAGTCTGTGATGATTCCCCAGAGGTATGAATCTATAAATCTTTTTGGAATCGATCACCACTTTTTTTACTTCATGAAACTCATTTTGTATTTATTGTAAGTTATTTAGAATATTTTAATGTTTGCGAAGGTATTTCATGGTTTATACTCTATTCTTGAACTCTCCATACCATATCAGATGCATTTTATACAAGTTTACATTTGTTATTTTTATGATTGAATTTAATATTGCTTTTTGGACTTCAGTTCTGAATAATGTCTATAATTTTATTAAACTAAAGTTCTTTTGCATATTATTTTGTAGTGTCTTGTAGATTTATTGTGTAAACGTAAAATTTTAGTCTTTCATTGGAAGCCACTCAAAGGGTGTTGTATTTTGTTCTTCTCTTCTTGCTGCTGTTATGAATGAGAAGTTATATGATGCTGTATCTGTGAGAACCTTTGCGTTTCTTTTTTGCATCAGTTTTTCGTTTCTGTTTTTTAATCCCTACGACCAGAGGAAACATGCTCATCTTTAGATGATTAATTAGAAGTAAAACTATGGTGCTATTTTCTCATTTTTATTGTTGTCATATTCATGTTTTGCATAATGTTTCAGAACTTCAGCTTTCAGTCATTAGTTATAAAGAAAGATCACTGTCAAATGCTTTCTCCTCTCAAGCCAGACCTTTTCTCGTGTTTATTTTTCATTCACTTTCAAAGAAGGTTTGAGGTATTTTCTTCTTCTATATTCATGATTTTTGACTCAAATCTTACAAATTTCTTCATATTTCTTATTTTCTACTTCTCCTCTTGCTTTTTATGAAAGGAATCACAGCTTCTGTTTCTTTCTCTATCCTTGGTCCTGAAATCCACGTCATGAAGACTTCTGAAATTGTGTGTTATAAAGTAATTTGTTTTCAGTATTATATTTACTGTTTTGTTTGGATTTATTAGCTTATTAATGTTTGTGTTCATTATACATAAGCATTTAATTTAAGTATTTCAGTGTTCATGATTCTAAGGGACCATTTTTTCATTTGGTTTCAGGAGGTAGTTTAAGTTGCCTTGTGACCCTTTCCTTTTGGTCATTGTCTTGAATTCTTACTGCAATATGGATAACAGGAAGCCATATTGCTGTAGTGAAGAATGGATTGCTGATAATGTGCGTCTTTTCACTCACGTCTGTTTTTTTAAAGCGTTTTTTCTCCTACCGACATGGAATCAGGTGGAGGACGTTTTAAAAAGACGTGGGTTGATAGCAGCTCAACGCGACTGCGTTCTGTCCGTCTCTAGGCAACCGTGACGTTCAGCGTCGGTCCGTAGCGTTCAGGGATCCTTTGGCTCTTAATATTTTCTCTATTTTGTCCATTATTGTCAAACTTAGTGTTGATGTGTTTGTTATAGGCGTGTCTATGAGACAGTTATATATTGGTTCAATACGGGACGCACATTTAAGGGCCAAATATGGGACGTCTCCGTATTTAACGGGATGGGTGGCATTTCAATTCAGGGGTGCTAAAGCATCCCTAAAACAGAGCTAGCTACGCCACTGCTTGACATTAACAAAGAGAGACAGATGAACATTTCCCTGTTCATCAGAGAAAAGATGAACAGGGAGAGCCTGACTCAAACTACCTGGATATCAGACAACATCCGGGTCTCATTATGTGTCTCTGCTTATCTCCAGGCCCAAATGAGCAACTTCATGTTTAATCAATCAATCAATCAAATTTTATTTGTATAGCACATTTCAGTAAGGCATTTCAAAGTGCTTTACATCATAAACACAAGAACACAAAGTCATGCATCATGGAATAAACAATACATTGTTACATATTACATTTCAAAAACAATTCTAAACAGGTGCATTTTTAATTGCGATTTAAAAGAAGTCAGGGTTTCCGCTGTTTTACAGTTGTCTGGAAGTTTGTTCCAAAGTTTTGGTGCATAGATGCTGAAAGCTGCTTCTCCTCTCCTGGTTCTGGTTCTGGGGATGCAAAGCAGTCCAGAACCAGAAGACCTGAGAGGTCTGGAAGGTTGATACAACAACAGCAGATCTTTGATATATTGTGGTGCTAAACCGTTTATTGATTTATAAACTAACAACAGTATTTTAAAATCTATTCTTTGAGCTACAGGGAGTCAGTGGAGGGACTTTAAAACTGGTGTTATGTGCTCCATCTTCCTGGTTTTAGTGAGAACGCGAGCAGCAGCGTTCTGGATCAGTTGCAGCTGTTTGATTGATTTGTTGGACAGGCCTGTGAAGACGCTGTTACAATAATCAATGCGACTAAAGATAAACGCATGAATGAGTTTCTCTAGATCTGGCTGAAACATTAGTCCTCTAATCCTGGAGATGTTCTTCAGGTGATAGAAGGCTGACTTTGTAATTGTCTTTATGTCTTTAAAAAACAAGCCCATAAAAAGCATAGCCCACAACTTAAAAATAATAAATAAATAGATAAATAAATAAACAAGCCTGAAGTCACGTAAAATAATCGGACTTAACAGAAACTCAAAGGAGTTTTCGACTGTCCAGCAACAAAATGTGCATCTCTCTCCTCCCTCCATTGTTTACGTTTCTGTTGCTGCTGACAACTGTTGCATAGAAACGGCAGTCGCTCCTCAAGGCATATAGAGGAAATAAAATGACATTACAAAAGAAAATTGTAATGAACAGTGACTTGGATGAGTAACTTTAATCTGATTACTGCATTTGAAATAGTAACGCATTAGATTAGTCGTTACTGAAAGAAGAGGTACATTATGAGAAAGTGCCGAGGTAGCAGAGATTGTCAAAAGATTTAATTTGTAAGACTATTACGTCACAGCGCTGGGTGTATTCTTGTGCTGAGATGTCATATGTTGTGATGTCACATACTGCTTTGTTGTGCAACACGGGGTATAAATAACTCCAGTTGGTAACATTCTGCTACGTTCCAAGGTAGTTCTAGAGGAGTCGGGATCGAGTTCAGTGCAAGACAGCAGCAATGGATTTACTTTGACGAGATTTGTGGTTTTTAGTCGATGGCCACACCATGCCTCCCATCGGTGAATATATTTATTAAATTCAGGAGGAGGACTAACTGGATTTTGAAATTTTGGACCTGGATAAGAGCATCAAGGAGAGGACGAGATTCCTTTTGAGATATCTGACGGAGGTTTTCTCTGATTTTGTGAAGGACGTTTCTGAGAACCTGAACTACGGATATGGCGATTTAAAAGCCATGTTTGGAAACCAGGTCTCTCAGGCCTTTGCCCGGGCAATGGAAGTGGACGAGATCATCCATGGAGACTGTGCTGAAGTACTTGACATGCTCTTCTGGAAGCATGTAATTATCTGAGGTCACGTCTCCTGTCCATGATGAAGATATCGTGTCGATCCTGAAGCTGGGTTTAGGGCTCAGTTCTTTGGTGTGAGCTGTTATCATTATCGTCCACGAACTGATGACAGTGGGGAGAAACACCAAAGAACTGAGGACGTCTTTCGAGGAGCAGAGAAAGGACACAGTCCAACTGTTTGTCAACTCGTTGCTGTGTCTTGGCATCACAGAGTCAAAGACACGCTGTTGTTTTTATTCCCTGATGGAGGTACAGAAGCGTATGATTAACAACATCTGCGCTGACATCGAGGGCCATCCGGCGGAAATTCTGGGTCCCTAGCCTGCAAAAAAGGTTTTCAGAGACCTAACTAAAACTTTCGGATGTTCTGCCGGATGGGCTCTGGGGTTCATGGAGCATAAGGTTGTTGACAGAGCAATTGTGATGTGTCTTTTAAGCCAAATTGAAAAGCACCAGAAGAAGAGGGACAGTTTTTTAACAAAACCTTTTTCTGTTGCTAGAAACAGCTTGAAAAGGCATCTTACCAAATGAGCGTGACATACCTCTGTGGATCTTGGATCCACAGAGGTGCCTGTGCCTCCGCTTCTCTGTTCCTCCATCAGTTTTAGTATCGAGTCGCCTCCTTCCTTGTTCCTCCGTCGGTCCTGCAGTTCCTCTCCTGATCCATTCTGTCTATTACACAGCAGCACACTGCGCCACGACGATCGATACACACAGTATCCTTCCTCACGGGAATTCTTCACCTGATGATGTGCGTCTTATGGGACGACTCCAAATTTTACGGGATGGGAGGCGATCCTATTCAGAGGTGCTGAGATATAGTTATAGGGGTGTTTACGCCTCTGTTGTTTACATTTATAGAAGTTAAACCTTATCTTTGTCTACTTGAATTTAATAGTAGCATTTACCTGAAATTTTGAACATAAAATAATTATGTCTGATTTAAAAAAAAAAAAAGTAGTATGGTTGTTTTTATGTCTCTTGAAAAGCGAATTTAACTGGCATAAGACTCGAATAACAAGTTTCCTGTGTTATTATTATTATTATTATTATTATTGTTTTGTTGTTTGTTGTTATTAATATTATTAATATTTTGCTGTCCACACCTGAAGCCTTCTTATAATGACGGTAATAGATTTCTTAGCGTCATGGTCATTTGCGGAGAAAAGATAGAATGCATTATGACGCAGTGTGTTGGTGTTCGTGGTATTGATTGATGGATTTATCATGGTTATTAAACTCAAATATCTGATTTGAATTGATTTTTGAAAATCTAAATTGAATATAGTTCAACATTTTTAAACAACACTATTTGTCAGGTTGATGTTTTTGCATTGATTACAGGCGAATAATGTTGCTGCACTGAGCTCAAGATGTCGCTATATACTAGCCTAAAATATCATCATCCCTCCTTCCTTTGTTAACTTCCCGGATTTGCGCCGTGGAGCTGCTCTACATTATTAGGCAGGATCGCTGAATTGACGCATTTCGTCATTTAATGTCATTCGGTCATATTTGAGGAACTACGACATAAACCCTTTCAGAACTAACATTTGAAAACGGGTTTAACAATGGAAATCTTTCCGTCGCTGGTTTGCGTCTCTTTTTTTCTTCTGCACGTCGCGCATGGAGAACAGAGTTATTCTTTCCTGGAGGAGATGAAGCGAGGATCAGTTATTGGAAATATCGCCAAGGATCTCGGGCTG